TTTTGTTTTCTGGCGCCTCTCTACACGTAGCTGTTGTCACATGAACCCGTGCACACACGATTCCCAGTTGGTGTGAAGGGCAGCATGTCCAGAAGCCACAGATATTCTGATCAGCATCAGTTCTACTTAAATTAGGCTTGAGCCCCTCCCAGAAATAAGAGCTTATAGCAACCTGATTGGGGAAGGGTGGGCGTGGCCAACTCCAGCTTGTTTTCTTAAAGTGGCTGAGCCCTGAAACTGCTCATGCTGGAAGGTCCTGAAGCTGTCAAGAATCCGTTTTCTGAAATCCTTTTGAGTGGGATGGATTCAACGCAAAAAAACGTCCCTGGTTCTCGAGAGCCGCTATCCACCATGTTTTAGTTGTTTCCTTTCTCCAACATACTTGATTCATCTTTTCAGCAGCTCATTAAGCTCCGCAGAAGCCTGTTAATCAACTGCCATGGATGAATGGTCACAGGCGTAACTTGAATCTGAGAAACATAAAAGTAGATAACAATTCTCTGAAAGGTAACCAGTGAAAGTCAGACATTTCTTTTCAACAGAATTATTAAAACAAACTCATGAAACAGGCCTGGACAAAAATGATGGTACCCCTAGGAATGACCAAAGGAACGTGTTATTCAAGGCATCATCACAGGTGTCTATAATCTTCTAGTAGCACGGAAGGGCCTTGAGTGTCTGTTAGTGCAAGTATCGTCTTTCTTATCTTTGTACTATCTGCCATTCGGAAAGAGGAAGAAACCCATCTGTGGGTAACCCTGTTGTGTAGTAGCTCCGGTTGGGCCAGCTAAGAGTGATCAGGGGCTGTGAATGAGTCACTCATCAGGACTTCATCAGGACCATAGCCAACACAGTAACCAACTCCCCTAAAGCCGGGCGGACACTGTGTGACTTTTTCACTCATAGCACTCACATTCAGCTCAAACTGCACGACTTTCCCGCAGTTCCAGGACTCTAGAAGGTGCTGTATCAAATACAGGCCATTTACCATTCTACTCATGTAGACAGGTTGTCATCCATTGGCATTTCCCATAATGTACTCAGCTGATTTCACTCATGTCTCTCTGGTCGTTCTCAGTTCATACAACTCAACTCTCCAGTTATTAGAGGTGTGCCCCAGGGCCCTGTCCGGGGGCCACTTGTCTTTATTATTTACCTTCTTCCTTTAGGTCCCATATTTAACATTCAGTTCCACTGCTTTGTGAATGACACGCAGCTCTAGTAAGTAAGTAAATGTTATTTCTATAGCACTCATCACAGACATAGAACCACAAAGTGCTTCACATAGATTAATTAATATTCAAGCTCCATCGTACATCAGTGACCTGGTTGTTCCATACGTTCCTAACCTAGCACTTCGCTCTCAGACTGCAGGTTTACTGGTGGTTCCCAGAGAGGTGTATGTCGCACAGAGGTTCCCTGTTAAAGACACAATCACACATAAATAAGTTTCACTGGAGTTTGGTTAGACTCTCAACGCCTGCTTGTTAGCCAAGCCGTCTCTTTTTCTACCTCACAGTCTGTCGCTAAAGCTCCGTTTTTATTGGTCATCAACAGAGGTTAAATTTACCATACAGATCACTGATTGGCTATGCGATCACCACAATGACATCACTTCCAGTTGACACTAAATCCATTATATCAAAACAAAGCACATATTTGTAGTAAACATAACACCAGAGCACATAATACCAGTTCTAACACCCACATGCTCTGAGGTAGTTGCTTGTCAACACTTATTTAACATTTCATGCCAAACATGAAATGGTCAAACCTTTCCAACTTCAGTGCGGTAGCGAGCTTTTTCATCATGTGTTACCATTTGTTCAGTTGGACAATAGTTCAAACTCACTTTGCCCTTTTTTACAGTTGATCTGACAAAATGATATTTTATATAAACATGTTTGCACCTCTGTCTCTTTACTGGGTGCTTTACGATGGCAATCGCACCTTGGTTATCTTCATAAATCCTGGATAATACATATTCATAACCATCAAGGAGCCGTGTTAAATAAAAACACTCTTGCACTGTCGCTGCAAATGACATGTAATCAGCTTCACAAGTAGATAAAGCAACTGTTGACTGTATTTTGGTGTTCCAAGAGATAAGTGGTCCCTTCCCAGTTAAGATCACTCAATAACCGGTCCTACTGTACGATCATCCCTATCTGATGCTCAGTCTGCATCACAATACACATGCAACCCTAGATTTTCATTTTCACATGTTTGATAACACAGAGCTTTATTAGCGGTACCTTTAAGATACCTCACTGTGTGTTTTACACTAACTCATTGTTGTTCTGTGGGATCTGATGCAGCTCAAGTCTGGTACATGTAGACAAGTATGTTAGACTCCCAACAGCTTCTCTATATTGTCTAACATCTCTCATTCTGTCTGAGTCGTCATTTTCTGCTTTCTGCTCACACAACATGGCTCTAGGTTTACAGTCTTGCACACAGAAACTCTCTAGTATTTCATCCACATATCCGGATTGTGGGTGTTGCCGAGATGTGGGTGTTGTACCGGTCTGTCGTGGTGAAGAGAGAGCTGAGCCACAAGGCCAAGCTCTCGATTTACCGGTCAGTCTATGTTCCTACCCTCACCTATGGTCACAAGCTTTGGGTAGTGACCGAAAGAACGAGATCACAGGTACAAGCGGCTGAAATTAGTTTTTTTCTGCTGGGTGTCTGGGCACTCTCTTAGAGATAGGGTGAGAAGCTCGGTCATCCGGGAGGGGCTCGGAATAGACCCGCTGCTCCTACACGTCCAGAGGAGCCAGTTGAGGTGGCTCGGGCATCTGGTCAGGATGCCTCCTGGACGCCTCCCTGGTGAAGTTTCCGGGCACGTTCAACCGGGAGGAGACCAAAAGGAAGACCCATGAAACGCTGGAGGGACTATGTCTCTCCACTGGTCAAGGAACCCCCTGGGATTCCCCCAGAAGAGCTGGTCCAAGTGGCTGGGGAGAGGGAAGTCTGGGCCTCCCTGCATAGGCTATTGCCCCCGCGACCTGACCCCGGATATTCTGCCAAAAATTGATGGATGTTCTAAAGTGGCCTTCTATGAGCCCTGACCTCAATCCTATTGAGCATCTTTGGAAGGAGCTAAAACATGTGGTCCTGAAAAGGGACCCTTCAAACCTGAGACAACTGGAGCAGCTTGCTCTTGAAGAGTGGGCCAAAATACCTGCTGAGAGGTGCAGAAGTCTCGTTGACAGTTACAGGAATTGTTTGGTCCCATTGATTGACTCAAAAGGTTTTGCAACAAATTGTTAGTTAGGGGTACCATCATTTTGGTCCAGGTCTGTTCCAGCAGTTGTTTTTTTTTACAATAATTCTGTTGAAGCATGGTTGAAAACCAATGTCTGACTTTATTTGGTTACATTTCATAGATTTTTTATTCTTTATGACTTTTGTCAGATTCAAGTTATTTCTGTGAGCATTGTGAGTTTTTCTTTCATTGACCAACTATTTTGTCCATGCCTGTAAGCCCTTTGCACTTTTTCCTTACCTACGTTGTCCTGGTGAATGTCCTCAGTCATCCAGGTCATGGTGATCCAAAAGGGTTCAGATGAAGGCAACTGGACTTCTTTGGTTTCTTGAAGACGTGTAGCTTCTCATCTGAGTAGTTAGTTCATCTGAGTCAGTTCAAACTGGAACATGGAAGAGTCAAGCTGTAGCTGTCTGTTGTTTAATGAGCAGAAACTATTCTGGTAGTTAAACAAGCACATAGCACAACACAGGAGAGCCTGGACTCTGCAGTCCACCTACACCCAAAGGACAAGGGACACACCTTTGAAAATGACTAAGTCCACATTCTGGACAGAGAAGATAGACGGTTTGAGAGAGGAGTAAAAGAAGCTATCTATGTCAAACGTGAAGTCGACTTCACTGCTCTGTAGTGACTTTTTATGCCTTTCATAGACTAGTCTCTGTCACGTGATAATGACCGACAAGATGCAGTCCTCGGAAAAGACAGCAGGTGACGAGCCCCTGCGTGTTGGGAGGCGACGTGCTGTGCCACAGCGTCAGTATCTGACACTTGCGATAAAACGGACATTTGACCGAATTGTGACCTTTACCCTCTTGTAATTTAACCTTCCCCTCACCCCCATCCTAACCTTAACCAGCTTGTGCATGCAAAGCTCTGATCATTGACGGGCTCCGGACATCTTTTTCCTGAGCACGGCCACAGTAACATTATCAAATCAGGTGTCGCCACCTCAAAAACAAATTTAACACGCGATCGTTCATATCGTTCAGCTGCTGTGGAGCGGGGCGCATCACCTGTTTTGTCCTCCGGTGACGCACCTCACCGGTGCGGCCGGCACGCACTCCACTGTTTTTGCAGTCGGTAGATCTTTTAGAACTGCAGTTCAAAGGTAACTCATGAGGTGAATATATATGAACCCAGGTAGCAGTTTTTCTTTAGGATTGAGAGGAGATGCAGGAAGATAATAAACAGGCAGGACAGAAAAATAGTCACATAAAAACAAGTTAGTTTTTGTACCTGGTGGTTGCAACAAACAGGCACCACTGAAGGTAATCAGAAGTGAGGAACAGAAAATGAAATAATTATTTTAATGTTTAGAGCAGCAGGAACTCTGAGGCTGCAGGTGCATCAGTGAGTTTGCAGCCGCTGCGCAGGGGGAGGGGGGGAGGGCAGAAGCAAGATGCAGAAACTACCGTTGTTAAAAGAGATGTGTTTGAAAATGTGGGCGCAATTTAAATAGTCAAAAACCAGCGAACCAACCAAGTTTGACTACTTGCCAAAAAATATAAATTGCTATAACTTCATAACTGAATGGAATAGAGTAACAAAAAATTCTTTGGTCATTTGTCATCCACCCACAAACTAAATTGAATGGTCAGATGATGACATCACACAAGCCCCGCCCCCTCAGGACCAAAAAGGTCAAGTTTTACTCTGATAGGTCCCAAATTGCCCCATTTCACTTAATCACCACAAATTTGTAGCTGTTAACTCAAGACAAATGGGGGTTGCTTGGCGTCACTTTATGGGAATTTTCAAAAGAGGGCGGGGCTGTGGCAGCGCGGTGAAGTCAGGCATACCGCCGTGGCCATACATTTGCCTCCCATTTCGTCATTTCTAAAGATATCACCACAAAACTTGTGGTGAGTGATCCTAGTCTGGCCCCCCAAAAAATCTGATGTGAAAATCTGGTGGGCGTGGCTGATTTCCTGAAATAGCACCCCCTCCCTAGGACCATTAAAACTGTCAGCCTCAAGCCATGCTTTGACTGAGGATTACGAAATTTGGTACGCTAATGTGGTGTCTCAGGACCTACAAAAAAGTCTCTTGGAGTCAAGCGCAAAGTCACACAGGAGGTCGGCCATTTTGGTCCAAGTACTCGATTTAGTGGTTTTCGCACACGTTGTTTGGAGAATGATGCCCCGTCGCCCTTTCCACCGATCACCTTCAAACTTCTGTTTTGTACTCTTAAGACATAGGGGGAAACATTTTAACCGTCGGATTTTAAATAAGTATAAAGGTGTGGGCGTGGCTAAGCCTCAAACTTTGACCCGTTTCCACTCCACTCTTTTTTTCACAGCTCCCTATTGGACTCCTTTCACCTAATCACTAGCAATCTCTGGCAAATAGTAGTAGACAAGTTGTGGTCACTTGGTGTCCTGTATTGGCAGGTTTCAAAAAAAGGCGGGGCTTTGGGAGCATGGCGAAAATCGCCATCATGTCATGGAAATATGTTTGCCTCTCATTTCCTCAGTTATTGTGATATCGCCACAAAGTTTATGGTGAGTGATCCTAGTTTGACCCCCAATAGAAATGGACAGGAGAAGTTGGTGGGCGTGGCCTATTTTCTGAAATAGCGCCCCCAGGACCATTAAAACTGTCAGCCCCAAGCCATGCTTTGACTGAGGATTATGAAATTTGGTACAGTAATGTTGTGTCTCTGGACCTACAAAAAAGTCTCTTGGAGCCGAGCACAAGGTTGCACAAGAGGTCGGCCATTTTGGTCCAAGTCGTTTGGAGAGTGATGCCCCGTCGCACTTTTCACCAATCACCTTCAAACTTCTGCTATATACCTTTAAGACATAGGGGAAGAAATTCAACCGTCGGATTTTAAATAACTTGAAAGGTGTGGGCGTGGCTAAGTCTCAAACTTTGACCTTTCGCCATTACATTACTTGACGTAATAACTCCCATGTGCATGATCAGATCTATATCAAACTTTGTCTAAGTGATCACTGACCACATCTCAAGACAAGAACAATGTGGACAGCTGACATCACCTAAGCCCCGCCCCCTGACTACAGGAAGTCTATTGTTTTATGGTGAAATGCCCAAAATTGTCCCCTTTAATTTAGTCAACATGACACTAAGGACATGCACTGTCTTCATGATGCTGTAATGACCATTCAGATCTGATAGCTTTTCAGAAAGGGAGGGGCTTTGATGCCATGGCGAATTCTGGCATGACGCTGTGACCGTACGTTTGACTGTAACTTCCACAAACAGCCTCTGATCTGCACGAGACCGAACATGTCAATCAACAATCATGCCCTTTAACCAATGAGGCACAAACGGTTGGTGAACGTTGTATAATATCACCACAGCGCCCCCTACATAACTTAAAAACTGTAATAACTCCTACAGACGAGGTCGCAACTGCACCAAACTTGTTATGTGTCATCACACAAAGGCACCCAACACAATCCTGTGGTCAATGGTTGATATTGCTTTAGCTCCGCCCCCTGACAGATATTAGTCCCTGAATAACACATGCATGATGCAATTCACACCAAACTGCACGCAAATGATTGTTGTCAACCTACAAACTGCTCCATGGGATATTTTCCTAAATTTGGGACAGCGCCCCCTGGATACAATAAAACCTTTGTAACTTCTACAAAAAAACTCCAAACTATATCAAACATGGTGAGAGTCATCACACAACTGCAATCAACACATGTATGTGCTCACTCGTTCAAATCACTTTAACTCCGCCCACTTACAGCCTTTTGGCTCTAGATGACCCATGCATTGTTTGATTGATGCCAAATTAACAGAAAACCGTCTTTGATGAGCAAAGATGACCTCTATGGGATTTAGTTGTAAATGGTCACAGCGCCCCCTAGATAGGTTCAAACTTTATTAACTTCTAAAGACAAAGTCAGAATGGCATTATACTTGGCTTGTGACATCACGTGACTGCACCAAACACATTGATGTGGTTGTTGGTTCAAATCCCTTTAGCTCCGCGGCCTTTCAGCTCTCTGACTCTAGAAAGCACACGCAATGTCTGATTGATGCCAAACTACCACAAAACCATCTTTGACTCCTTAAGAGGACCTGAATGGGATTTTTATGTAATTGGTCACAGCGCCCCCTAGATAAGATTAAAAGGTAATTACTTCCTAATACAAGGTCAGAATGGCATTATACTTGGCTTGTTTCATCACATGACTGCACCCAACACATTGATGTGTTTGTTGGTTCAAACCCCTTTAGCTCAGCCCCTTTTCAGATCTCTGGCTCTTGAAATTACATGCAACGTCTGATTGATGCCAAACTACCACAAAACCATCTTTGTCAACCAAAGCTGACCTCAATGGGATTTTTCTGTAGTTCGTCACAGTGTCCCCTAGATAACTTTTACCTTTAATAACTTCAAAAAACGTGGTCAGAATAGCATTAAACTTGGTCTCTGGCATCACACCACCAGTGTGGTAAATATATAGTATCCTCTAGTGGTGAGATGTGTAATTTTATGGTGGGCTCAGAGGAGATGTTGAATCAGGGAGAGGTGCGGACGATGAGACAGTTCGCGGTTTCTGGTGTCAGGGTGGTTGACGTCTCTGTTCCGCGGACGTGCCCGGGTGTCCCGGGCAGCCAGCCAGGACGGAGTGGGACAGAACTGCGAGGGCCGAACGACGCTGCTTGCAGCTTTAATTTTCATTTGTAATGGTTGATACATTGTGAGATGGACAATCCAGGTGTTTGAACCTTTTTGTTTGAAATGAACAGGAAACAGGAAGCTCTGTAGCTCGTAACTACTGAAGAACATCATTTATGCATCATGTAGAAGCACTGACTCCTGCAGAGGGAGTGGACCTGGACTCCTGCACAGCAGGGGCGCTTTAGCATCAAACATCAGTTCTTTCATTTCAGATCATTAATCTGTCGTTGTTTTTCATCCTTTGTTAGCTAACCTCCTGTTCCAGAGTGGGTGGATCTCCAATGGGGCAGCCGTCACCTTGGCAACCAGCTGACCAGGCATCTCACACCAGCCATTCAGGATTTTATTTGTGAAGTTGGAGGAGAAGGAAACACAGGGCATGGCCAACCCCCCCAACACACACACACACACACACACACACACACACACACACACACACACACACACACACACACACACACACACACCTGTGCAACAACCTTTTCTCCTGCACACCACCACAGCGCCCCCCTGTGGCCAGAGCCTGTCTCTGCTTGGCTTAGCCCTGATCCTGGAAGCAGAGGGACACCGTTAGCTGTAGGATGTTACTGAGCATGTGCAGAGGTCTGACCTCACAGAACCAATCAATAATAATTTGGGGTTTGTAGTTGGGGCGATGCTGGTATTGCTGCTGCTGCTGATAACGTAACACATCACTAAGTTGCTATGGTAACTGATCATTTTCAGACCAATTATCTCAAGTTTCATTGTCAATTCAGCATCTTTACTTTTTATAGTTTAATTTGTAAAGCTTCTAATAATGACTGAAGCTCTTCTTTTTACAGACGGGTTCAGAAGAAGACAGGGCCTCTTTAGACATCTGGATCTCTGCTCTGATGATGTGATCAGTGGGGGGGATCCAGCGTTGATAGGAACAGCTGGTTGAAGTGATGCCGTTGAGATAATTTGGCCTAAAATCAAATCAGCATCTTTGACTCAGACCATCACACCATTTCATTAAAAGTCTCTCTGCTTCCTTTAGGCTCAAGGAGCTTCAGGTGCCTCCACAAGCAGCCACGCTCCTCCTTCTCCTCCCACTCCTCTCGCCCACACAACAAAAGCCTAACATTTCTTAACAAGCTGCCTGCTCTCCTCAAGTAGAGAGGGACAGAATGGTACAGAAGACATTAAAGAGCAAAAAGGTAAACAGCATGAAGGAAGCTATGAATTCAAGAAAAGTAAAAAGAAAGAAATATTCCCTGACTGACAGAATTAAAATGCGTCAGCACCAATGACAGTATTTATGAAATAAACACTCTGCGCCGTCACCCGACAGCTTCTGAAGAGTTGGATTGAAGCCCGATGGGTGGCTATCACCACTGCCGTCATGGCTGCATCATGTGTCTCATCACTCCCAGGAAAAACAAAAATGGAGCTGAGTGTTGATGATTGGCACCCATCAAAAGCTGATGTAGCTATGAAGGTACTGAGCTAACTGAAGCTAACAGAGGTTGGTGGGAGCTTTTAGCCAGAAAAACGTGGTTGAGTGACCATGCTACCCTCAGCCTTCTTGGCTGAAACACTTTTAATGTGAGGCCGAGGCCTTCTTTGGAGCAAGCAGGAGGACTAGCTGCTATTGCTGCTACCTTTCAGTCAAGTAGACCCACCCCTAATTATTCATAATTTCTAGCTTAAATTGCATTTAAACAAGTGAGTAACAACAAAATTCACCCCCATCAGAGTTGTCATGAGTGTAAACTAGATCTGTTAAACCTAGAACTGGTTTCTCAACCAGGCTGTAAACATGTATTTTTCTGCTGTGAATGGGCTTTTTTAACATGGGAGTCAATGAGTTTCCTGCGTTCTGGATCAAGCCCCTAGTTGCCCATTGGTCAGCACGACTCTGGGCTTCCTGTTTAGCCCATTCAGCAGACCGGAACTGTTCCAATTAACAGCCAATCAGAGTCCCAGAAGTGTCAAAGTTCAATGAATCAGAAAATTATAGGAACAAAAATGAAAAAAAAAAAAAAAAACAGAACTGTTTGACCTGTAAACCTTACTGTGAGTTGGGTCATGTTTCAGAGCAGCGGGTCTCGTTTCAGCGCGATGGTCATGTTTCAGAGCAACAGGTCTCGATTTAGAGCGATGGTCATGTTTCAGAGCGACGGGTCTCATTTCAGAGCAATGGTCATGTTTCAGAGCGACGGGTCTCATTTAAGAGCGATGGTCATATTTCAGAGCAACAGGTCTCAGTTTAGAGCGATGGTCATGTTTCAGAGCGACGGGTCTCATTTCAGAGCGATGGTCGTGTTTCAGAGGTGTCATTTTAGAGCGATGGTCATGTTTCAGAACAACAGGTCTCGTTTTAGAGCGATTGTCATGTTTCAGAGCGACGGGTCTCGTTTCAGAGCGATGGTCGTGATTCAGAGCGACGGGTCTCATTTCAGAGCGATGGTCATGTTTCAGAGTGATGGTGACGTTTCAGAGCGACGGGTCTTGTTTCAGAGCGATGGGTCTCATTTCAGAGTGATGTTCATGTTTCAGAGCAACAGGTCTCGTTTTAGAGTGATGGTCATGTTTCAGAGCGACGGGTCTCGTTTCAGAGCAATGGTCATGTTTCAGAGTGACGGGTCTCGTTTCAGAGCGATGGTCATGTCTCAGAGTGATGTTCATGATTCAGTGCGATGGTCATGTTTCAGAGTGACGGGTCTCGTTTCAGAGCAATGGTCATGTTTCAGAGTGACGGGTCTCGTTTCAGAGCGATAGTCATGTCTCAGAGTGATGTTCATGATTCAGAACGATGGTCATGTTTCAGAGTGACGGGTCTCGTTTCAGAGCAATGGTCATGTTTCAGAGTGACGGGTCTCGTTTCAGAGCAATGGTCATGTTTCAGAGTGACGGGTCTCGTTTCAGAGCGATGGTCATGTCTCAGAGTGATGTTCATGATTCAGAACGATGGTCATGTTTCAGAGTGACGGGTCTCGTTTCAGAGCAATGGTCATGTTTCAGAGTGACGGGTCTCGTTTCAGAGCAATGGTCATGTTTCAGAGTGACGGGTCTCGTTTCAGAGCGATGGTCATGTCTCAGAGTGATGTTCATGATTCAGAGCAATGGTCATGTTTCAGAGTGACGGGTCTCGTTTTAGAGCAATGGTCATGTTTCAGAGTGACGGGTCTCGTTTCAGAGCAATGGTCATGTTTCAGAGTGACGGGTCTCGTTTCAGAGCAATGGTCATGTTTCAGAGTGACAGGTCTCGTTTCAGAGCGATGGTCATTGTCTCAGAGTGATGTTCATGATTCAGAGCGATGGTCATGTTTCAGAGTGACGGGTCTCGTTTTAGAGCGATAGTCATGTTTCAGATCGACGAGTCATGTTTTAGAGCGATGGTCAAGTTTCAGAGCAATGGTTATGTTTCAGAGCAACGGGTCATGTTTCAGAGCAACGGGTCTTGTTTCAGAGCAATGGGTCATGTTTCAGAGCAACAGGTCATGTTTCAGAGCGACGGGTCACTTTTCAGAGCGATGGTCACGTTTCAGAGCGACTGGTCTCATTTCAGATGGATGGTCATGTTTCAGAGCGACAGGTCTTGTTTGAGAACGATGGTCATATTTCAGAGCGACAGGTCTCGTTTCAGAGCGATGGTCATGTTTCAGAGGGACAGATCTGTTTCAGAGCGATGGTCGTGTTTCAGAGCGACGGGTCATATTTCAGAGTGATGGTCATGTTTCAGAGCAACGGGTCTCGTTTCAGAGCGATGGTCATGTTTCAGAGCAACGGGTCTCGTTTCAGATTAATGGTCATGTTTCAGAGCGATGGTCATGTCTCAGAGCGACAGGTCTTGTTTGAGAATGATGGTCATATTTCAGAGCGACAGGTCTCGTTTCAGAGCGATGGTCATGTTCCAGAGCAATGGGTCTTGTTTCAGAGCAATGGCTGTGCTTTAGAGCGATGGTCGTGTTTCAGAGCAACGGGTCATATTTCAGAGCGATGGTCATGTTTCAGAGGGACAGATCTGTTTCAGAGCGATGGTCGTGTTTCAGAGCGACGGGTCATATTTCAGAGTGATGGTCATGTTTCAGAGCAACGGGTCTCGTTTCAGAGCGATGGTCATGTTTCAGAGCAACGGGTCTCGTTTCAGATTAATGGTCATGTTTCAGAGCGATGGTCATGTCTCAGAGCGACAGGTCTTGTTTGAGAATGATGGTCATATTTCAGAGCGACAGGTCTCGTTTCAGAGCGATGGTCATGTTCCAGAGCAATGGGTCTTGTTTCAGAGCAATGGCTGTGCTTTAGAGCGATGGTCGTGTTTCAGAGCAACGGGTCATATTTCAGAGCGATGGTCATGTTTCAGAGCGATGGTCATGTTTCAGCGCGATGGTCATGTTTCAGAGCGATGGTCATGTTTCAGAGTAGCGGGTCATATTCCAGAGCGATGGTCGTGTTTCAGAGCAACGGGTCATATTTCAGAGCGATGGTCATGTTTCAGAGCGATGGTCATGTTTCAGCGCGATGGTCATGTTTCAGAGCGATGGTCATGTTTCAGAGTAGCGGGTCATATTCCAGAGTGATGTTCATGTTTCAGAGCAACGGGTCATATTCCAGAGTGATGTTCATGTTTCAGAGCAACGGGGTCATACTTCAGATCAACAGGTCATGTTTCAGAGCAACGAGTCGTGTTTCAGAATGATGGGTTGGGTCCTATAGTGACAGGTCATGTTTCAGTCAGGGATTTTTCTTTCTTTACCTGTCAGGTTTGAGAACAAAAGAGCATAAAGCAGCTGTGTGAATTCTTCGTAGAGAGCTGGGGGTTCTTCCTCCTCTGTGATGATGTTCTGTACAGATCACTTGTTTCCTGCATGCTGGATTTAGTGTTTCGTGTTTTAGCTTCAGACTCCATTGCCTTTTGATTGGTTGCAGCATTTTGGCTGCTTTCCAACGCTATGGTGATTTCAGTTATTAGCATTGACAGAATCTTTGACTGAAGGCAACATCTGTTAGCTATAAGCTAACAAAATGCAGATGGTGCCAAATTTGATATTCTGCCTCTTTTAAGCTGTTGTTTGTCTCTGAAGCGATAATCAGCTTCGTACTGTCGAGAGAATGTAGAACTTTGTACAATCAGACTCTCACAATGATATTTATAGCATCAGTATCTACCACGTTTGTACATTTGAAAGCTTTTTAATGTTTCAACCAGACTTCCAGTTGTGGGGTGTGTGACTCCTTTTTGTGAACTATTAGCTAAATAATTTTGGTTTCTATGATATGCATTTGAACATGCTAGCGGCTGCTGAATGTGTTGCCACCGCAGCCCTTGTCTTTACTCAACCTTAATCTCTGAGCCATAGGCGTCCCGGATCTGGAAACACACAACCAAAACAAGCTAGCGGTCCTTAAGCTAAATAACTAGACAGGCAGGGCGGGGCATCATAGGAGGCGGGGCCAACATATGAAGCATCTTACAGTAGTTTAAGTTCTGCAGGTCTTCCTCCAACAGCTGATTGTTTATATTGTCACTAGAGAAATAGATTTCGCTTTTAGGCATCTTTGTTTCAGCCTCCTGGTTAAACAGCTGAAACTAGCTGTCAGGCTCCTCTCTCTTTAAGATGTCCCTCCCCTACCACCTGATTGGCCAGTCTGTGGAAACCACAGAGTCAGCACCTGATCTAAAAACCATTGTGATCAGAACCAGATGTTTCAGTTTCAGTTAGATCTCACACACGCCGGTGTGACCTGAGCCGGGACTTCACATGGCACCTGCAGAGACCGCAGCTGTGTTCTACAGCGGAACCTTCTCAGAACCTTCTCTGTGAACTTTTATGACACTTGAATGCATCAATCGCTGGTGGGTGGTGAAGAAACTCCCGCTGAAACTGGCTGGATGTCATTTTATAGAAACTTTTTTGCTTGAAAATGAAACTGATGTTAGAAGATTTGCTGTTGCTCCAGTTTTCTCCACATCTCCTTTTTAATGTGAAGGGATCCAAAGCAGCGGCGCTGGCGGATCACAGATTCTCAGAGTTTGGTTTCTGATTTGTTTACCAATTTGGTTTGAAGCGTGATGCTCAGGCGGGTGAGACGTTCTCACCTGCAGCGCTGCAGACTTCAACGGGACGGAAACAGGATGAGATAAGCTAGCTTCAGCTGTTTTGTTAGCAAACATAACGCTCCAGCTAAGCTAGGGTTGCTAACTGAATGAGCTCAAGTATAACGCTGTGAGGAAATGCTAGTTTGACCAAGGAGAATTTCAGAGAGCAGAGAAAACAACCAGAGAAGAGCAATAATGGTTGACTAGTGAAAGACATGAAGACGGAAGGTGGCGTCTGTGACCTGATGGACCAGATGGAACCAACCTTCATGAGGCTTTGAGAGCAATCGGGTGTGATCTTAGCTGCTCACTCCCTGGACCTGGAGGTGTGAAAGCCAGAGTCCGTCTCCAGCTGATCTAGTCTCCAACACCTGGTGAAGACTGGCTCCATGGCCAAGGTCACCATGACATGTTGAGCTTCCTCAGCTGCTGCTGCTGTAGTTGCTTGCAGGAAGGAAGCAGGAGGACTAAAAAGAGTCAGAAGAATGTTGGGACCACGAGAGAGAAGCCCAGTTCACGACAATCTGCATGCAGTGTGAACGCTCTGATTGGACTCTATGAGGAAGTCAAACTAAAACTGGACTGCATCTGTTGTGCGTTCAGTCTGAAAGAGGCTTAAAAAGGGTGTTGGATCACCGCTACACCTGTACACCGTCTAGATCAATGGTGCCCACCATCATATATGTTCTAGAGCTTTCTCTGTTCACCAGATGACCAAAGGGCTTCTGTGGAACCCACTGAACAGGTGATCCAACCACTGGACCAGGTGTGTGGGAGCAGGAATCAGCTAGAACATGTTGGGGAGGAGCTCCAGGACCAGCACCTCTGGCGTGTTGTGGTTGGAAGCCTGTCAGGGCGGAGTTAGCAACCACTTCTGAAAGTAAACACAGGAGAGGAAAGTCATGTCGCAGTCTTTCCTCAGCAACTGTGTCGGTTCTAGAGTTGAGTGCACACTGGACAGGAACGTAGCTGCTGAAGTGGACGGGCGTAGCCGCACCGGCACACAGGCCGCTCCCCTTCATCCTAACGGCGTGAGAGCCGTTTGGGCCAGAAACGGAATTAAATCCACCGCAGGAGCAGACGTTCCTCAGGTGTGTGAGCGGCAGCGGAGACACACCTTGTGTCTGAGTCCCCCCCCCCCCATGGAGCCATCATCATCAGTGACTAAACTAAACACACGTTACCTTCATGTATCCTGGCTCGTACCACCTCACTCTGAGCTTTTAGTCTGCTCAGCATGAGCTTTACTTCAGATTTCCGTTCCATGAACAAAATGTTCGGGATTTCAGACCCAGACAGAAGTTTTCATCCTGTTTCTGCCCGTTGATGCCCTGCAGGATTAATAATCTCCCTCCTGACGTCTTCTCAGCTGTTCTCACTCTGATAGATATTGTCCTGTACTGTAACTGGACTACTGCTGCATGCCGTGTGTGTGCATGCACGTGTGTGTGTGTGTGTATGTGTGTGTATGTGTGTGTGTGTGTGTGAGGATAAGAGTGTTTTTTATCATCTTCTTTTGTAATCTTTGGAGTTATTTCTTCTGCATTGTATTTGATATGATCGTGTGAATAAAGAGAAGTGGACGACTGCTGAGCTCTGATTGGTTTATTTCCACGTTGTTGTTGTTTGAGGCAGCTGAAAGCTGCAGGAGTGTCTACAGGACCAGAGTAGATTATAAATCTTCTGTGCTCTCCCAGGAATCACTTCCTGCTTCATTTTGTCTTTCCGAGTGAAATCCCTGCATGGATCAATGTCCCCAGGAAGAGCTGTTTGTGTTTATTCATGTAGCAGGAAGTCATGTCTTCCTCCAGAGAGACATCTGGCTTCCAGAGAAGGAGGAGGAACAGCTACCTGAACAGATGCAGGTTTTCCATGAGAGAGGTGAGCAGTCTGAGCGGACGTCGGCTCTCAGACTGAAAGCTGCATTCCTGTTCAGCGATTAATGCCTTTAGCTTCACCGTCGATCATAAACTCATTAGTAATATTAGAAGTATTACCGCGGACCTCGCAGTAAAGCAGCTCTGCTCTGTGTGGATATTCCAGCTCCTTCCCAGTCATGGATCAGGACAAACTTAGGATGAGATTCCTTGTAATCTCAGGAATTTGGAGCCGCCAGTGTCATCCTGCTGAATGATAAACTGCATTGTTAATCCCAGATTATCTACTTTAGCCCTAATGACACAGTAGAGGTAGCTGACTTTAGGCCATAGATTACGGACCATAATGAAAGTAGGAAAGTCTAATTATTACATGAGTTTCTGTTGCAAGTATGGAGAGCCAAAAGTGACACAATTCAATAAATAACTAAAGCAGTAAATAATGTTTATAAATGTATCATTACATATTTTAAATACTTAATAACATGAACATGAATAAAAATATGTAAGTTATTTAAATTATATCTACACATTTGATGATTTATTTCATTATTTCATGGTTTGTTTATCATGACTGTGTTATATGTAACAACATTACATCACAACCGTGAGCAAGGCACATGTTGAGCTTATATTTAATGTATTTATTGACTTGTTTTACGAGGATAAAACCTCTAGAGGTGAGACTTCTGGTTTTCCAGCAGGTCCTGCATGTTACAGGGTTTTACTGACTTGGTTACAGATATTTACGCCTAGCAAAGAAAACAGTCGCTGACTCAGAATCAATTCGAGTTTATTTATATAACCAAGTCAGGACCGGAGTCGTCTCAAGGAGCTTCACACAGTTCAGGTCATTAAGACAATCAGTACCAAGTTTCCTAAACAAGTTGTTGAGCCCTCTGTTTTAGACCCATTTCTAATCTGTCATTTGTTTCAAACGTACTTGTAAAATGTGTCTATAACCAATTATTGTCATATCTGAATGAGCAGAAGATTTTAGATGTTTCACAGTCATGTTTTAAACCCTCACAGAACCAACCCTTGAAAGGTTTTAACGACACATTCTAGTGACTGTGTTCCCCTTATGCAGAGGTGGAAGAGTACTAAAATGTCCTACTTAAGTACGAGTACCAATACTTTGATAATTTTGTACTCAATTACAAGTAAAAGTACTTGCCTAAATTTTTACTCAAGTAAAAGTAAAAAGTACCGTAAACAAAATGTACTCAAAGTAAAAGTTACTTAGTTACATTTTTGTCAGCGTAAGGATGGCTACATCTAAGTAGTGCTAAATCACAAGGCCAGTTCACAATTCGCTCGTGTGTGTGCGCGCGCACACACACACACACACACACACACACACACACACACAAACCTGCAAGGCTTGAAGGAGGGATTTCTATCCAGTCAGTGAGAACAGGACGTGCACATTGATTGGACGAGGTTTTTCTAGGATGGTAAGTTTCAATTGTGGTTAAAATTATTCTTTATTTTGAGAAAAAATAATTTTTTAAGATGCCATCAGTGTGTGAGGTATCTCAATGTTTTCATGACAAAACTCTAACATGAGACTGCACTCTAACCTGTCACATAACGAGCTAAATGAAAGTCAAACATTTCAGATGGACCGTATGACAGCTGCTAACGTTGGCCCTGCCCTACTTTACCTCTACATTACAGTTCCTTTATCCATGTCCATCCTAGAGCTCCTCTCTGACCTTCATGCTTATTTCGAGCAGCTGATTTTTAAAGCTAGCAGAGTTCATCCTTGGTAGTGGGTTCACTCACTCATTTAACCCTTCACCACTGAAACCAGTTTGTTCATTCCAATCCTCCTAAATAATCCTCCAATCATCCAACTGGAATCCTTAAGGGTCCCGTAACGTCCATCCTGTCAGAACAGGCCTTGGGAGCCCAGGTGTTACTAGAACTAACGGTGTCTCCTCACCAGCGTGAGCCTCCAAACTGCGAAGGTTGGTCTCCAAACATGAACTTTAAATTCATGCATTTATCTCCTCTTGTAGCACTTAAACATGTTTTAAAAGGCTTGTATCATGATAAGTTACACCTCCCAGACCAAAGATAAGATAAAACATCATAGATACTATTAAGACGTCATTATTTATGAAATATGAGTTATTTTCCTGAGCCATTACTTCAGCCAAGAAATAAGATGCATGGATTTGATGAAACCACGCTGTCTCATGCAGTCCTAAATGTGTAACACACACACACACACACACACACACACACACACACACACGCACATGCACACGCAAGCGCGCGCGCACACATGCACACACTGCAGCATGTTAGAATCATGTGAATGACTAATTTAACTACATTGAACTGCTTTAGTAATAATTTAATCTCTTATTCTGGAGTAAAATAAAGAAACAAGCTAAATCATCACATATGTGTGGCATCAAGGAGCATCTTCTGAGTTCAAACACAGGGATGGAGCACAATGTTTACACCTGAACAGTATCAGGATGTTTTAACTCACAGAGGCCTGCAGCTCTTCTGTTTTATGAGCAGAGCGCTGAGAATCCGCTTGTTAGGAGCGCTGAACGTTATTTTGCCGCTGCCGTGCGGAGCGGTAGAGAAACACAATTCAAACACGGAACCGAGTCCGGCTACCGAACCGAGCAGATTTCTGATGACTTCACACCGGTGCACGAAGGTGCGGGATCCAACCCACAGGAGAGGAGGGAGAGAGGAGGTAAACAGCGAGTTGATCGACTGATCCGATGTCTTTGAGCAAAAGTGTACCCCCCCACGGTTTAGACGTGACGCTCATGCAGGCGTCTCTTTCCGTTCCGACGCTGCTACACGTAATATTTGTAATTTATTAAGCCTATATTTTATTTTACTCAGTAACGGATATGATTTAAAATGTAGCGAATTACAATTCTTTTTAAAAAACTTACTCAAGTAAAAGTAAAAGTACAGCTTTTAAAAACGACTTCAAAAGTATAAATATACAAAAAAGCTACTCAATTACAGTAACGTGAGTAAATGTAATTCGTTACTTTCCATTTCTGCCCTTATGCTTATACACCTGTCATCTGCCTGTGATGCAGTGGTCCATGGGATGCTGGGGGGGGGGGGGGGGGGGGGGGGGGGGTTGGATAGATGAGGTGGAGCTATAGGTCATTTGAACTAGAAGTTGATTTCTAGACATTTTCCACTTTATTTGCATTCTAAAATGTCGCTAACATACAGTGGCCCAGAAGGGTCAACGAAATACAAAAACCAAAACACAACACAACAAAAGCCAAAACACAACACAACAAAAGCCAAAACACAACACAACAAAAGCCAAAACACAACACAACAAAAGCCACAATGGAAGTTATACGAAAACGGAAATAAATCTAAAACGGAAATTCTCCTATCAGTAGGTGGCTGTAATGCACCACTTTGTGGGCGAAAAAGAAATTCAAGAAGAAGAAGATGATGAAGAAGAAGAACAACAACAAACCTTTGAGATGCAGAGTTTGAACACTCTCTTAAGCGTCGTAATTAATTTACCACATTTTAGTCTGCTTAGTTTGTTGTTTTAACTCTGGCTGCTGTAATTATTCTAGGTTCTGTTGTTTTTATTTGTTCTGTGTACAGCTCTTTGGTCCTGTGGGTGATTTAAGTGCTATACAAATAAAGTTGACATGGTATGGTGTACACACACACACACACACACACACACACACACACACACACACTAATGTCTAAAAGTATCTGAATGCTAATCATCCTAGCTAGTAGCTACTATTTTTACACATAACTCTTCCTTCATATATTTAGCTGTCTTTACACCCTTTTAAACTGTTTAATGCTGCTACTGAAAAACCGTTTCAGCACAGAGCAGAAAGGATTAGTTTTTAGCGCCTCTCGCAATACAAGTCACAAAGATAAGAAAAACAAATAGAGGAAATTATTATAAACATTACGCTTAAAAAATGTGAATAAAAATGAAAAAAGGCAACCACGGGATCCCTAAAAACACAGAATTGGTAGAAAAAGCATCAGGAAGAAGTGGATGAACCAAAGGTCCTACCAAAGCCTGAACAGGTGAGTTTAAAGGAGACCACTGAGTCCGCTAATCTCAAGCCCCCTTCGGACAGGCCATGAAAAACGGAAATGTTCCGCACTCTGTCCGTAAGACCTTTGTGTCTGAATACAAACATCCGGATAACGTGTTCCGGAATTTATCCGGACGAAGCCCCTAGTAACAGGTCCGGACTTGTTACGGACAGGGTGGCTGCTTCAGACTGGTGAGGTAAAGTTCCGGACAAGGGGGAGGGGGAGGAGGAGGGGACCGGGGGACGCCGTGCGCACCTAAATAGCTCGCTCCTGTAGCATGCGGCGAACCACGGCAGCTCGCCTCCTACGGTACCGTCTAGACGCGCGACGGAGCGCTTCACACCGCTTCAGTGATTCCTTTAACCATTGAGCTTCATCATCCAGGTCTCTTATGCGTCTTCGTGTGCGCAGAATTATGCTTAAGCGCCTCGTGATTTTTATCTTGAGAGGCGCTATAGAGATGATATTTTCTTCTTCTTCTTAACATAAGTCCGATTCCCCCCACCCCCCGCCGCCGTCAGACATCTGGAACTTTTCCCTGCTGTGTGAACGCAGCCGAAAGGACAAGTTCCGGTACAAAAGTGGTGTGTCTGAAAACACAGTTCCGGTTAAAAAACGAATTGAATTGTCCGC